AAGAAAACTTAGACAGTTATCCCCAGAATCCAGAATAGACAATAATTAAAATATAATACTAAGTTCATAGCATATCTGTTAAAGTTCCCAGTGATTAAATTACTGACTTTGAAAGCCTAGATGATGTAAAATTCTGAAGAACTGAACTTAGGTCAAATGTGATGGTTTAGGATTCCTTTAGGGACAGTTGCAACCTGAGGCAGCTGTCAAGGACTCTCCTTGCCCTTCTCTCACTTTTTTCATTCCTTTTTTGTCCCTTCTTTTTGATCTTCTCTGATCCTTCCCTTTGCCTCTTTTGTCCTACCATTACTGTTTGTAAGTTTTCCTTCTGTGCTATTTACATGTGTTTAAAAAGTGCACAAATAAAAAACTACAGCTTGAAGAATTTTGACATATATATGTACATTATACACCAAAATACATATGATGGACCTTAGAAGAAATGAATAAAAGAATAATTGAAATCAAAATAAATTTCCTTCCTGTTATACAAATGACAGTATACCCTAAGCACTGTTGTGTATCTTGCTTTTTTCTCCTTATCATGTATCTTAGAGATCATCACAAATCATTAAAAACCAACTTCAAGGCCAGGGATTTAGTTCATTGGTGCCTCCGCCTGCCTCGCAAGCGCAAGGTCCTGAGTTTGATCCCTGGTACCAAAAAAAAAAAATGTTCATACTTACTTTTGTACCATAATTTATTTTGTCAGTGCCATATTGATAGATATTTAAATTATTTACATTATTTTATGATTACAAACAGTGCTGTCATGAATAACTGTACATAAGTTAATATATTTTAATGCAATTAAATTGAGAGGATTAATTGCCAGATGTGGAATTGCTGGATTAAAGCAGTGTGTACATTGAGTTTTGACAGATTATGTCAGGTTGCCTTTCAGATATGGTACCATACTAATATATACTCCTACCAGCAATGTTGAAGGAGTATCCTTCCCCAACACTGTCTTCAACCTTTTTTAATCTTTGCTATTGTGATAAGTGAAATGGAATCCTAGTATAGTTTTTAATGTGCATTTCAGTTACTATAATTAAAACTGAGTATCTCTTTATATGTTCAGTCATTTCTATTTGCTTGTCTGTGAACTTTCTGTTCAGATCCTTTGCCCATTTTTTTTTTCTCCTACTGGTTATTGATCTTTTTTGTAATGATTTCTTGGGTTTTACCCCATGGAAATAATTGTGTTTTGTTGATCTTATGAATTGCAAATATTTTTTTACAAGTATTCAAGTTCCTTTCTGTTTGCTTTTGGTGAATTTGCCATTCAAGCTTTTTCCCTCCATGGTCAAACTTAATGTTTTTCTTTAACGGCATTTAGAATGCAGGTAATGATTAGAAAGAAAAACTTCAAGGGGTCCAGATATTTCACTCTGAATAACTTTACCGAACTTCAGAAATGAATATAAAAAAGAACTGTATCTTAGTTACTTTCTTGTTCCTAGGACAGAATATCAAACACCCAAAGTTAAAAGAAGAAAGGTTTATTTTGGGTAACAGTTTATAGAGGTTTCAGTCCAAAATTGGCTGGCTCCAAGGAATGGTGGCATGGCAGAGAGGCATCACAGAGGAGAAACAGTTCATGGCAAAGAACAAAGTAGCAAAGAAACAAGTCCAAGCTACCCAAGTCACTTCTTTCTGCCCCTTTTATACTCTTATCTAGGATACTAGTCTTCAGGTGGGTGCCAAACCAGTCAGTGGACTAATTTAGTAATCACACACCCTTAATCCCAGCATCACACGCTAGATCCAGCCACCTCTGGAAAAGCCCCACATATGACCACATAAGGCTTTGGGGGGACATTTAGACATAAGCCATAACAAACAGTATAGGAGCCTAAGTTGGGGAAATGAATAATTTAGTTAACTAAGCCTCACAGTATAGCCTTGCTATTCAATTGATACAGATTTTGAGTACATTTGTATTAGGCAGGGTTCTTGTCCCAAACAATAGAAAAGTACTGGTTAATTTAAGCAGAAAGGGACGATATCAGAGAGTTTACTGAATCTAAGAAAAGATTACAAGAATATTCAGAAGGTAGAAACAAATCAAAGGAACCCATATCCAAGGGTTCCCATACATATCCTGCATGAGCCTAGAATTGATTAGAACTGTTGCTGCAGGTGACATCAGTGCATCTAGAAGCTGGTTTCCGAAAGCAAAATGAACTGCTCCCATTTCATTATGTTATTTGTCTCAGATCTATGGTGTTATTTGTTTTGGATTCAGAGTCACAGATTGTTGGCCAGATAGTCATGAAAATTAAAAACAAATGAAGCTGAAATCTTAATTTCACCAAAAGCTGATAGGGAGTTATTGTATTTGGAATTCTTAATTTTTATTTCCTTTTCATATAAAAGTCTCAACTTTGTTAAAGAAGATGACCTGCTCAGAAACAGTTTCATGTTTTGTTCATTCTAAAAACATGAAATAGTTGTGTGATAGTTTTATCAGTGCTTTTTGTCATTAATGAGTTCAATTCTAATACATGTTGAGATGAGATTATTTCACATACGTCCATAGCAGTTTCAGTCTAGTCTGTTGGGGGAACAATAATAGTGCATTTAGAAGTTTTGTTCAGCATCTATGGTTTCTATGGAAACAGACTTAATAATGACCCAGAGTCTCTGAGCTTGTTTTTCTTCCAACATGCAGTTATTTTTCATAATGAAAGAGCCTCAGATTATATTAATCCAATTTTATTCCACAGTGGCATATACACTCTTAGACGAGCAGTAAAAATCAGGATTTGTGGAGAAAGTTAGCATGGGGAACAATGGTCAGCAAATTTATCTTTGATACATTTAAGAAATAGGAACATAATTTTAAAAAATAGCTCACTTGTACATGGTATTTGGTTAAAAAATACACAGATACTACAGTAAATACGGCACTTGACCTTTAAAAAGACCTGAAGTGTGTTTAGAAGTAGACTTCAAAAAAGCTGAAGTTTGTGAGTTGTTATGAAAGGGTAGAAGGAGAGCGTTGATATGAAGTTGATGAAAGGTTGTATCACCAGATGGGTGCTCCTCACAATACTGAGTTGAACTGAGGTTACTGGAGATGTTTTGAATATGTGTGTATGTTTTGTATATTTCTAGGCAGCTCACATCAGCTGGATCCAATTTTCTGCATTCACCTAAACTGTTTTCCTTGATGAAAGTCATGTACTCCATTATTCTCTAATCTAATCAGTTACATTAAAACAATATTTGCACCGGGGATTTAGCTCAGTGGTTTCGCCACCTGCTGCGCAAGCGCAAGGACCTGAGTTCGATCCCTGGTACCAGAAAAAAAAAAAAGACAATATTTGCATTTTTAAAACAAGCATTATAGGAGAACTACTTTTATTAGAACAACTCAAAAGTATATTTAAGAAAAAATTTAGGATTAAGGAAAAATAATGTTTTAACTTCTTACATTAAAAATTGGCTTAAAATTATTTCTCATTTAAAATTAGCATTTCATATTATGTACTACATTATGTATTATTACATTGAAACGATATTCCTACTCGAAGGGTTTAGGAGTTAGATGTCCTTCATTAAGGAAATGGTATAATACTGGGCCTCTCAATGGTTGATTGAAAACACTATTGGAAGTTCAAGTTACTTTTAACTGTGTACGCATACAATGGATTATCATTTAGTCATGAAAAGAAATGCAATTTTGATACATGCTGTAATATAGTTGATACTGGAAAATATTCTGCTAAGGGAAATAAACTGTATTCAAAAGGACACACACTGTATGATTTCCCCATATCTGTGGCAAATCCTTAGAGTCAGAAAATAGACTAGAAATTACCAGGGGCTAAAAAGATGAGGAAACATTCATTTATTTAATGGGTATAGTTGGTGTTTGGGATAATGAAAATCTCTTAGAAATAGATAATTGTGTACAACATTGTGAATGTACTTAATGCTACTAAATTATATGCTTAAAATGACTAAATGGTAAACTTATGTAAAATAGAAAAATCAGTTTTATTTCATCTTGTATTTTTATCTTCATAATTACATACTGCTGAATTCACAAGGGTACTGTAAATATTTGTAAATACTTGTTAGAATTCATCAGAGAAAATTTATTTTCTCTTGTCAAAATTTGAGCATTGAATTTGGGTATTTCTTGCAGTACATAGCAATTACCATAAATGTTCTGGAATTCCATCAATTCCTTCAAGAAAGTTAGAGTTGTTTTTCTTCTAATGGAAGGCAGAAAAACATTTAACTTTATACACACACACACACACACACACATATATATATACAACATTTTACGTATATATGTATATGTATAATTAATTATTATGCATTAGAGAGACAGATCAAAGTACCCTGAAATTTTTTCCTCAATGTTGTAGAATTCCTGAAATGTTTAAGTTCTTGGCTATAATACCTTATTTCTATTGAATTAGGAAAAAAATATGTTCTTGAAGTAAATGTTAAATAATTTGAGTAAATTAATTTTTAAGAGTGATACTAATTCATTAGTGTTACTAAAGTGAGTCATACATAATTTTTGTTTTTTCTTTTCAAGAAATTTTCGGGCCGGGGATTTAGCTCAGTGGTTCTGCTGCCAGCCTCGCAAGCTCAAGGACCCGAGTTTGATCCCCGGTACCAAAAAAAAAGAAATTTTCTTAAAATGTTCAAATGGGAAGGGGAACAAGGGAGGGGGAGGCGGAAGGGAAAGGGACAAAAAAAAGAATAGAAGGAAAAAAATGGAAACAAAGCTTTTGTAAATAAGGAGAGGAAGAGGAGTTGAAGGGAGGGGAGGGGGATGGAAAAAAAAGAAGCAGCAAGATATGTCATGTACAGGCACAATTCCTTATGATAAATGTTATCATGTGTATCTAAAATATACCAATAAAATTTTTTAAATTGTGGAAAAAAGAAATTTGCTTAGCTTTTGCACATAATTAAGTTGTATTTTTACAAATATGTATTCCCTAAAATGTTATCCAATTGTATTTCAGGTTGCAACAAGGACAATGTCAGAGCAGGCTGTAAAAAATGTGGCTATCGTAAGTACACAAAAAAGCAACATTCTGTACATTGCTCTCACTAGAAACATTGCCTTTTTGAGCATATGCCTTACAATCCCATTTTCAGAGGCCCTATGTATAGTCCTTTAGCCCTAAGCTAAAGTGTGTAGCTAATTCAAAAATTCTCATTAGCATTAAATACCACTTTTTTTCCTTTAGGTAAATAAACCCAGTGGCAGATAGCTATGTATCTGATGACTAGCAAAGATGTCATGAAGTACAAATAGTAGTAGGATTTAAGAGTTTGGAGAAATTATATTTACTTGTTATGGAGTATGTCTGTGTGTGTTTTATTCCTTGTTTTCCTGGATGCTAGATGAGGAGGTCAAGGCATTGAAAACTATTTTTGAAGATTTCATGTTTCTTGAATTTACTTATCCCTTTGTGTAAGAGTTTGTCTTGGTTACTTTGTCTGTAAGACATAATACCTGGTATCCACAACTCTAAGGAGTAACAGTGTATTTTGGCTCAGTTTGTAGAGGTTTCAGTCCATAATTGGCTGGCTGTAAGGCCCAAAGGCATGGCAGTAGAGTCTTGCTTATCACAGGACATCAGAAAGCAGAGATGGGTATCCAAGGAGGTGGGAAAAAGATAGATCTTTCCAGGCCATGCCCTCCCCTCCCAGTGACCCACTTCCTCTAACCAGGCTTTTGAGCTATAAACTAATTGGTGTACTAGTCCACTAATGAGTATCATGCACCAGTGGTACAGTCACCTACCCAAAGCCCCACCTATTAGCACATGAGGCTTTGCAGGGGGACATCTAGAAATAAACCATAACAAAGTTTGATCTCTTCATGGACAAAAAATAATCATAGTCTTAATTATGACTAATATAATAGAATGAAAAGGTAAACTTAAGCATGTGTAATTATATCCAATATTATGTATTTCTAATTTTATGCTGTAAAGAAATATCATTTCTATAGTTAAATGTAACAGTTCCTAAAGCTTTACTAATAGCTATTGCAACAGCATTTTCTGCTTTTTTAGTTTTTTGGAGACCTGTGTTATTATTAATACTGCAATTCATCAAAGACTTTTTTTTAATAAAAGGATGATTTAACAAAAAGATTTCTGAGACTTTAGAATAAAGGAGCACTCAGGATGTATGTTTCCATCAGAAATATACAGTACATTCATGCCAAGAGAACAAACTACATGCACCCAAGCAAAGCTCAAACATGGCTCTAGGGAAGGTTGCCCAAGTAGCAAAAGTGGGTATGTAGGTGCGCATACCCTTCATAGAAGTGAAAACTAAAGAATAGACTTGTGTGCAAGAAATGAGTAAAATGAAATATTTTCTCTTTTTAAATTTGTTTGCTTCATTTCGGTCACTGCTCATTTACATGTCTCATTTCTTTATTCAAGACTAGCAACCTCCCGTAGATAAAAATTCCTCAAAACCTAGAATGGAATTCCCTGTGTACTAACATCAGTTTATCTAGTTGGTTTTCTTTTAATACAAGACTTCCAGGAAAGCAATTAAACTCATTTTCTTGAAACAAAATATTTGTTAATCTAGTCTCCTTGTTGCTATTTTGTTTTAGATGACAATAGAAATATCCACAATAATGAGAATTTGAAAAGCCAAGTCAGTAGTTTTGAACATCTTTCCAAGTTTGGTTCTTTCTGCTTTAATATTTAGATCTTAGTATTGAACAATTTTTAATTTATCTCCTATGGAAAAATTTAGTTATATTTCTATTCTCTGTTAAAATTGTATCTCTACAGTGGTTAGAAATGAAGGTCTCCATTTGCATGTCTTTGTGATAGAAACTACCTTTTAAAAATTAGCTTGTCTTTTATTTGGGGGCTAGAATCTTTGTATTACTTGTATACAGAGAAGAGAGAGGCAGATAAGACCATTTGAAGTGGTTTTAGGGCCCCAAAATATGGGTAATCTTCAGTTAATTATAAGAGTGTTGTCTCTTTTTTGTTATGAAAATTGTGGTGTAAACTGTATTTTCAAGAATTTTAATACTCGATTGAAAAATATTTTGTCTGTATATTTTAATAGTGGATATATTGTAAAAAGTTTCAAGTTAAAGATAAATATGTTATAACACAGATCTCTCTTTTTCACAGCAGAATTTCTTCCACAAAATGCTTTATAAATTTATAGAAAAGGATTATGTCTATAGAGAATTCATTAGAATTTTCTGAAGTTGGCAACTTACAAAAATACCTAAGAACTACATGGACACTAACTTTTTCCATAGACTATCTCAAGTAATTGTGATAGTTCTCAGAAATCCAACTACAAAGCTCAGTAGAGTAGACTCAGTGGTTGAGCTTTTGATCCCAACAGCAAGAAATAAAAGTAGATCCTTAAATACCTTTAAGATTTTATTTAACTTCCAGATGCTAACTACTGACACAGAGTCCTCACCTACCTCTTCTTTGCCTGTGGGTCTGCTTATTGGTTTTTTTGTGGTGTGTGTGTGTGTGTGTGTGTGTGTGTATACCAAACCCACATCTCAAATACATTTTCTATTTTTTATAATTTGTTTCTTCAAAGAGAGACAAATTAAACTACTTATAAAGAAACTTGAGTGCAGAATTCTTCTGCCATTAAATCTCAAGTAGAAAATCTGTGGGAGTAGTTTTTAGTTGACAATCATGAGGGGTGGGGGCATTGAGGGTGAAACACTTTGATACTTATTATGTGGAGCTCAGTGATTATAAACATCTTATAACATGTTAAGCGTGTTGTCCTATAGTACAATGGAGAATTTTCTGGCCCATAATGGCAGTGATACCCTCTTTGAAAAACAGGTAGCTTTTCTCATTGTTTTAGAGTTTTACCCTATCTCTTACAGTTTTCTTGTCAATGCCTAATTTGACAGCTGCTTTGTAAAAACAGTTCATTTTGATCAGGTCTTTCCAAAAATATAGCTTTTGTTACATAGAAACCATTTTTTCTAGATTCTTATTTTATTGATCTAAATGATATTTGATTAAACAAATTTTAGAATAATTAACAGACCCTTGATAAGTAAAATATCAACTAGTGGGGTAAAATATCAACTGAGATGAGGTGAGAGAAAAGTGATTAAAAAGATCCAATACCAGGAGAAGCAAGAGTGTACAGCATCACATAAACCACAGAAGCAAAGATTTTTCAAAACTGAGGGGAAGTTGTCAGGTGCAATTTGTAAGAAATGAATTGAAAAATATTCATTGGATTTGGCAGGTAGGATGCTTTTCTGACCCTAGCGTGATCAGTTTAAGTAAAATTGTAGGTCTGAAACACTATGTAGATTCTAGTCTGAAGAGCTGGATAAAGTAGAAAAAGTCAGTGTAGTCTCCATTTTAATAAAATTTGCATGACAGTGATAGGAAACATTTAGTAATGCTTAAAAGAGAATATGGGTCAATGGAGGACTTTCTTTTTTTAAGCTATGTTATTGATACAGATGGAGAGGACATTGAAGGAGATAGTTACAGATACCAGATGCCGGAGAAGATTAAGCATGTTCCTCTAAGAGCTATGACAAGGATATCCCTTGAGCTTGAAGAAAACTAATAAGTATAGATATTTTTGGTGTGGAGACAGAAAGTAGAAGGAAATATTGCATGGTGATATCAATTTGGTTTCTGAATTAGACAGAATTGTCTCTTTAGTGAGAGAGTTTGGTGTAAAGATGTGAGAAAGCTATAAGTTTAAAAGGTAGGTAGAAATATTGGGGCTAAAAATTGTAGAGTTGCAAGTGTGGCAGGTGAAGATAGCGTGGCCAGCCACGGAATCTAGAACATCAGTGTTGAGAAGAACCATCCAACAACCTACACTGTCCATCTAATTTTATGGGAGGGCTTAGGGTAAAGAGTTTCAAAGATCTCAATGAGTGAGGCTGTTCAACTGCAGGGGCAGCTGAATGGAGAGTAAAGAACTACAGTTGGAAAACAGTACTGAGAAGCCTGGAAAATACAGTTAGTACCAAGATAAAAAAGGTGATTAACTACAGAGAAATATCCTCATGGAAGAGTCAAATTTCTCTTAGACAAATTTCTCTTAGAAGGGAGCATTCTGCCAACCGGTGAGCAGTTTATCTACCAGGGACTGAATGTTTCAGTAGCTACAGTAAAAAGACTTGGAGAGAAAGTTAATGATCAGCTAGGTGAGTGTCTCACTCACTTTCTCCTTGCTGGGACTCAGTATCCACACCAACGAATTAAAGGAGGAGATAATTATTTTGGCTCAAAAAGTTTAGAAGTTTCAGTCCCTGCATGGTTGGTGGCATTGTGGAAAGGTGTGGCATGGAGGAAAGTTGCTCATATCAGTTGGTAGCCAGGAAGCAGAGAGAGAAGTGAAAAGCCAGGGAGAGAAATATACCTTTCCAAGTCATTCCTGCAGTGCCTGTATCTTTTAACCAGACCCCACATCCTAAGAGCAAATCAACTATACTGCCCTCATAATCTAGTTACCTTTTAAAAGCCACACCTATGAGCACATGAAGCTTTGTGGGGACATCTAGATATAAACCATAACATATAATATATCTCCTTTTGTATCTGGCTTATTCCACTTAGCATAATATTTTTAAGGCTCATCCAGGTTGTAGCCTGCATTGTAACATTTTTCATAGGTGAATAATACTTCATTGTATAGATATACCGTCTTTTGTTTATTCATCTGATATTTGGTTCCTTCTACTTTTTGACTTATCAATTATGCTGCAACTGTTTGAATTCCTGTTTTCAGTTCTCTTAGGTATATACCTAGGAGTGGAATTACTGGGTCATGTGTAGCTTTTTAAAAAACCACTGAACTGTTTTCTACAGCAGCTCATTCTCACTATGATGTAGAACATACTAAAAATGTACTCCAGTTTCTCCACATCCTCACTTGTTATTTTCCATTTTTTAAAAATTCCATTTATGATAATCTGAAATATATTTGATAATTGTCTCTGATTCCACATAACTTCTAAAACCCTTGGAATTTCCTGAGTGTTAGGTTAATAGGAGAACCTTTTGTTATTCATAGCAAGTCCCTTTCAACCAAACCTGAGTTTATACTAATAAGATAACTCTTATTTGACCCCTAGTTAGCTTTAAGATAGGGGCTAGTTGCCAGAGGAACCAACCATATGATTATAAGATTAGACCTTTCAGGCCTGCCTTTAACCTTCTGGGGCTGGGAGAGGAACAAGGGGCCAGTGGTTGATTTCAGTCACTGATGGTCAACTATTTACTCAATCATGCTGTGTAATGGAACCTCCATAAAAATCAGCAAACTAACCTGGTGTGTGGCACACACCTTTAATTCTAGTGACTCAGAAGGCTGAGGTAGGAGGGTCACAAGATTGAGGCCATCCTGGGCATGTTAGCAAGACCATATCTCAAAATGAGAAATGGCAGGGTTTGTAGCTCAATGTGAAGGCCCCGAGTTCAATCCCCAGTACCACAAAACCCATGAACTACAAGGTTTGAGTCTTTCTAGGTTAGTGAACACATTGAGGTGCTAAGAGTGTGGTATACCCAGAGAGAGCCTGGACACTTCATGCCTCTTCCGCACACTTTTCTCAAAACATCTCTTCCATTTGGCTGTTTCAGAGTTCTTTACATTATAACAAACTGTTCATAGTAAGTAAGCTGTTTTCCTCAGTTTTGAGAGGTATTTTAGAAAATGACCAAACTTGAGGAGGGGATTGTGGGAACCCCCTGACTATAGCTGACCAGTCAGAAGTATGGTTGGCATCTGAAGTAGAGGAAGTCTTAAGGAACTGAGCCCTTAACCTGTGGGGCCTGTGCTAACTCCAGATGCTGTCAGAAATGAATATAATTGTTGGATTCCTAGTTAGTTTCCATAGAGTTGGAGAACTGGTTACTGGTATGGAAAAAACTCATACATTTGGTGTCAGAAATGTTATGAGATTTCAGACCACCCTAACATATGTGAAAATGTATTTCATTGTGGCTTTAATTTGCATTTCCCTAATAATGTTGATTTGTGTGTTCATGCATTTATTGGCCATTTGTATTTCTTTTCTGTCTTTTAAGTCCTTTGCTCATTTTAAAACTGGTATATTAGTTCTCCATTACTGTGACCAAATATTCAACAAAATTGACTCAAAGAGGAAGGATTTGTTTGGCTCACAGTTTCAGAGGTTTCAGTCATTGATCAGCTGGTTGGATTATTTTGGGCCTGTGGTAAAGCTGTACATCATGGTGGAGGAGAGTTGTTCACCTCGTGGCAGTCATGAGGCAGAGAGGAAGAGAACCTAAGAGGAAGGGGCTAGGGAACAGATATTGTCTCTTAGGGCATACCCCCATGACTCACTCTCTTCAATCAGGTCAGTCACGGTCAAGAAAATTGAAAGACTAGCACCCTAGAGAAAACTTGATGTGTATGTACAAAGAAATGAGCAAAATACTGTAAGTCCTAAGTTTCTATCAATAGTAGGTTAAATAAATGAATATGATTTTTATACAGTGGAATATTATTTGTTAGATAAAATGAAAAAATCACATTTACTTACGTCAACATAGGTAAGTCAAAACATTGAGTGGCAGAAACAAGTTACAGAATGATAGGTATAATTGCACTTACTTTTTAAAAATGCATAATACAACATTTTGTGTGGGAATAATAGACACCAATATCAGTGTAGTTACTTTAGAAGACATAGAAACAGAATGAGATAGAGGCAATTTCAAGGTAATGTAAGCTCTACCACTCTGTGTGTATGTATGTGAGCATACATGTGTGAGCTTTTCTTTAAAATAATTAAAATGAATGTGGCAGTGTTAACAGCCAAGTGATAGATATGTAGGCACTGATTATATTATTTCTTATACTTTTTCAGATGTTTAGATTTTTGTTAAAAAATGTATGTATAGTAAGTAGGCAACTACTGTAGTTTTCTTATAGGGACAATCTTTAAGAAAGTGATATCAAATTAAAATTTTACATGTTCTTTAGGAAAGTGTATTTAGTTATATTAATGCCTATATATTACTATAACAGTTTTATTTTATTTATTTATTTATTGGTACTGGAGATCGAATTCGGGTCCTTGTGCTTGCAAGGCAGGCGGCGGAACCATTGAGCATTAATCCCCGGGCCTATTCTGACAATTTTAATTAGATGAAAGTTGTGTAATTGCATGAGTACAGCAGTCTGAGAAGAAAAGGTATGGGAAGAGAATAAAATAAAATCTCAAGTATAATTTTTTTGTATTTTGTTTATTTACTTTTAGATATTACTGTAGTTTTAGAAAGGGAAAGTATGGTAATTCAGTACTCTATGACCCTTAAGAAACACTGCTCAAAGTGCCTATTGAATTAGAAGTTCCAATAAAGAAAGAAAAATTTTTCTTGATGTATTGTGTTCGGGGAAAATAACCAAACTGCCACCAACTAAATAAAAGTTAAGTTTTTTATATTATTGAAAATATAATTGGTTGCTTACCATGAAGCAACAAAGCAAAAAATATACACTGTATTTATAGTTTTATTATTCTTATGTCTGTATTTGTTTTACTTAGCTGGTCATCTGACTTTTGAATGCCGCAATTTTCTCCGAGTAGACCCCAAAAGGGACATAGTTTTGGATGTCAGCAGTACAAGCAGTGAAGACAGTGATGAAGAGAATGAGGAACTAAATAAATTGCAGGCATTACAGGAGAAAAGTAAGCAATCTTTTTCTTTTTCCATTCTTTAAAAGTGTTTCTTAAATGTTCTACTATGTTGTATCATGCTTATATATCATACTTATTTATCACTAAGATAGCTTTTCTATTTTATGTAAGAATTACTGTGTAAGTTAGAAAATGGTCTTTAACATTGTAAGTAATTTGCCTAAGAATAAACACTGAGCAGAGATATAGCCAGGAAGCAAGTCTCTTTCTGACTCCATAAACCATATTTTGCTTTTTTGTTGTTTTTTTCCCATTACACTAGGCTGTGTCACATGGTTTGCGGAGTCTAATTAAAGACTTGGTTTCTAGCCCCATTTGACCATTTTTCTAGTATATCACTTTCAGAAAGTCTTTTAACCACTCTGAACCTCAGCTTCTTTTGTAGGATGAGACAAAGGATATCCATTGTCAAATCATACCCACAAAGATCAGAGTTCTTAGCTGGTATCGAGCTTTACAAATGATTTCTAGTATACAAATAATCATGAAGTATAGGCAAAGCCGTGACAGATGTTTTCTTTCTACTTAAGGTCTCAGTTTGGTCAAGATTAACGTGTTTCTGTATTACTTAAAGCAAAATAAAATTTAATTGTGAAACACCTTGTATATAAAATGTCTCATTCTTACAATGAGATTTTTAGGGCAGAAATGTAATGCTTTAACTACTTTATAAACTACAAAATTTCATATGGTTCATATCACACAGAATTAAAGTGTAACTTCTTTAGGTATGGTCTCAGATGTGGGATGAAAAGAGTTATAAGTATTAAACTAATTTTAGTTTAGATCATCAGAAAAGAAAAACAGTGCCTTAAAACAAAATAAGGACAACGGTATCTACTTCATAAAGGTTGTTATAAAGACATTGTATTTTTAAAAATTTAACCTTTCCATATCATATTCAGTTAGGTAAATAAAGAAGTGAAATGTATGGTACTAGAGCAAGATGACAAGACAGAAGGAAGAGAAAATCTCAGTGCACAAATGAGTCATACTACATATGAGTATACACAAGTTCAGAGGAAAGATAGTTGATTGAATGTATACACTTTTTGATTCCTACTGAAACATCACTAAACAACAGTAGGGGAAAAAACTTTTTTTGAAATACCAGCTTACAAGGACAGAAAATGAGACAGAAGCCAATAGCAAAATTTTGGAAACTGAAAAGAAAATGAGTTAATGATAATTGACTACACACTTGGAAAAGCTCCATCCTTTAGTAGTATGGGATGCTTAAAAAGTAACTTGGTATACACTCTGAAGCCCCCTAAATACATGATAATTAGTATTCATGGTTATCTCTCTAAGTGAGATTGTGTGAGTTTAAGGCTAAAAACAGAAGGATTAGTCTCAAGGACCTAGATCCTCAGTTCCCTCACCTACGCACTGAAGCTGAATGGCTTCCCCTCATCACCTGCATGAAGTACTGAAGATTTTATTTTCTAGACAGGATTTTTAAAAAAAGGTCTTCATACTGGAACACAACATGCACAAAACAAGGAGTAAGCTAAATGTCAGATACAGAATGCTGATAACTTTCCAGCCCTCTCCTATTTGGTTCCAGACATTTATCACTGAAGCAGAATATTAGCAGACTCTTCTCCAGGAATCTGACCATTTAAAAAGAGAGACCTTAAGATTCTGGCAGCAGTAATTCTTCAAGAATATGACCTAGCCAGATTACTAGAAAAGGCCAATGTTTCAAGTTGCTCAGAGCTTCTAGTCAGCTTTTAGACAATCATGAATCAACAGATTCTAAGACTCTCGTGAAATATGGGCATGCATCATTAACAAAAGGGATACATTCAGAGAAGTATATCGTTAGACAGTTTTGTCATTCTCCAAACATCATATAATATATTTAATACAAGGGGCCAGGGATTTAGTTCAGTGGTTCCCACACCTGCTGTGCAACCGTAAGGTCCTGAGATAGATCCCTGGTACCAATATATATATATTTAATACAGGCCTAGATAGTATGGCCTATTGCACACCTAGGCTATATTGTATAAACTATCATACATGCGGCCTCTCATTGATCAAAATATCATTATTTGGCACATGGCAAACACACAAACAGGCAAATAGACACACACACTGGACTTGAAGGATATAGACTCTTAAAGAATATAGACTCTTGAAGGATGAAGAAAATATAACAAAAATAACTCAGGAAGCATGAATATGGTACTATAAAAGGCCCAAAAAGAGAACATTTGGAAATTTAAGATGACATGAAAAACTTCAGATAGAATTGGAAAATAGTTTAAAGCATTATTTGGCATGTGATGGTATATATACCAAAGCGTGCACGCGCGCGCACACACACACACACACACATACGCTCGACTTGAAGGATATAGACTCTTAAAGAATATAGACTCTTGAAGGATGAAGAAAATATAACAAAAAATCACTGAGGAAGCATGAATATGGTACTATAAAAAAAAGATTCCATGGAAAGAACATTTGGAAATTTAAGATGACCTGAAAAGCTTCAGATAGAATTGGAAAATAAAGTTTGAAGAAATCTAAGAAGAACAAAAAAAAGAGTGGAAGGAAAAAAATAAAATTAAAGTACCAGTGTAGGAGAAACTTCACTGAATTGAGTTGCAGATGGAGAATTAGTTTTCAGATTGTGTTCCACAACTACCAAGTATCTTGGACAGTGATAAAAATACACGTACACCATCATGGAATTAAACAGGTCACCAGTGAAGGAGAAGCTTCAGAATAGTTTTAGATTTCTCTAAAGCAGTGCTAGAAACTAATAGATGTGGATAATGCTTTCAGTTTTTTTTGAAGGAAAATTATATTCAAATTAGGATGATTATTCCCAACCAGATCACTAGCTGGATATAAAAGTAAAATATGTTTTCACATATTTCAAAGTCCCAAGGAAAATGTACTTCTTACATACTCTTTCTTGGAAAATCTGTGGAATTAAATATGCAATAAGTATGGAATAAGCTTTATAGTAAAGAAGTAGACCCAAGGGAATGAGACATGAAATATGGAAAATAGGAGAAATAAAAAAGTCTTCAGGATACTGTGTTGAATCTATAGATTGCTTTGGTAGGATGAGCCTTTTAAAAATATTAATTATTTCAATATATGAACACAGAATATCTCTTCATTTATGTATGTCTGCTTTAATTTTTTATTCGTATTTTATAGTTTTCTAGGTAGAAGTCTTTCACCTCCTTGGTTAAATTTATTCCTAAGTTTTGGGGGGTGTTTTTGTTTTTGATGCTATCTCAAAAGGAATTGTTCTTTTAGTTCCTTTTGTATGATTCATTGTTAGTCCAGAGAAATACAACTTATTTTTGTACCATGATTTTGTACCCTACATATCTGCTAAATTCATTTATTGTTTTTTTCTGAAGTCTTCACGGTTTTTGATATTTAAGATTGTATCATCTGTAGTGAAAGACAATTTTTCTTTTTCTTTTCCAATTTGGATGCCTTTTTTTTTTCCTATCTAATTGTTCTGGCTTCTGTTTTCAGTACCATGTTGAATAAAAATGACAAGAGAGGATAGCTTTCTCTTGTCCTGTTTTAGAGTAAAATTCAAATTTTATCAGTGATATAATATTAGTTGTGTGCTTCTCATCTATGCCCTTTATTATCAATATACATTCTTTCTACCACTTATTTGTGGAATGGTTTTCATCATGAAGGGGTGGATTTTGTCAAACGTTTTTTCTGTATTGAGACAATGATTTGTGTCTTTCATTCTGTTACTGTGATGTATCACATTTATTGATTTAGATGAATTCAACCATCCTTGTATTCAAGGGATAAATCCCACTTGATCATAGTGTATGACCCTTTAAATGTCTTGTTGAATCAGTTTATTATAATTTTTTGAGAATTGTTGCATGTATATTCATGAAGTATACTGGTATATAATTTTGTTTTCTTGTGGTGCCTTTGTCTGGCTTGGTATCGGGCTAATGCTGGCCTTGTAAAATGAGTTTTGAAATGTTCCCTCCTCTTGAATCAGTCTTAGCAGGTTGTATGTTTATAGAAATGTATCCATTTTTCTCTAGGTTAATCAATTTGTTGGCATATAAATCTCATGACTTTGTATTTCTGTAACATAAACTCTAATGTGTCCTCTTTCATTCTTTGTCTTCTCTTTTTTTCTTAGTCTAGCTCAAGTTCTGTTAATTTTGTTTAGCTTTTTAAAGAACATTCATTTCTTTGATCTTTTTTGTTGTTGTTCTCATCTCTATTTCTATTCTAATTTTTTATTTTCTGTTTTCTGCTAACTTTGAACTCACTTTGTTCTTTTTTTTAGTTCCTCAATGTGTAAAGTTTAGTTGTGAGATTTTTTAATTTTCTTTTTATTTTATTTTTTTGCAGCAAGGTCTCACTAAATTGCTCCAGCTGGGCTCTAACTTGTGTTTCTCCTGCCTTAGCCTCCCAAGTAACTGAGATTACAAGTATGTACCACCATGCCCAGCTAGAGACCGTTCTTTCTCATTGTAGTCACTTAGCATTATATGTCCCTCTAAATACTGCTTTTACTTAATTCCATTATGGTGTGTTGTGTTTTTATTTTTCTGAAGTTTTGTTTTGTTTTGTTTATTTTTTTCTTTGATATATTTTATGTTTGGTTTCCACATATTTGTTTGTGAATTTTCCATTTTCATCTTGTTACTGATTTCCAGTTTCATAGCACTATGGTCAGAAAGGACATTCCATATGATTTCAGTCTTCTTAATATTGTTGTCTAACATGTGACCTATTGTGGGAAAATGTTATGTGTACTTGAGAAAAATGCATTTTCTGTTTTGAGGTTGAATAGTCTATATGTGTTTCTTAGGCCTATAATGTTATTCAAGTCTACTGGTTTCTTATTGATTTTCTCCCCCCACCCTTGGTTGGTGCTGGGGATTAAACCCAGGGCCTGTGCATGCCAACCGTGTGCTCTACCACTCAGACACACCCATCCCCAGCTTATCTTATTGATTTTCTATGTG